GCGGCCCGGGTTCGGATCCCGGGCGCGCATCAACGCACTGCTTCTCCGGCCATGCTGAGGCCGTGTCCCACATACAGCAACTAGAAGGATGTGCAACTATGATATACAACTATCTACTGGGGCTTTGGGGGAAAAAAATACATAAATAAAAATCTTTAAAATTAAAAAAAAAAAAAAAAGAAAAGAAATATATTTTGTAAGGCTATAGCGGCCATAGATAGTGATGTCTCTGATGGATCTGGGCAAAGTAAATTGAAAACCTCCTGGTAAGGATTCACCATTCTAGATGCCAATAAGAACATTCATGATTCATGGGAAGAGGTCAAAATATCAACATTAACAGGAGTTTGGAGGAAGTTGATTCCAACCCTCATGGACGACTTTGAGGGGTTCAAGACTCCAGTGGAGGAAGTAACTGCAGATGTGGTGGAAACAGCAAGAGAACTAGAATTAGAAGTGGAGCCTGAAGATGTGCCTGAATTGCTGCAATCTCATGATAAAACCTGAACAGATGAGTTTCCTCTTATGGATGAGTGAAGAAAGTGGTTTCTTGAGACAGAATCTACTCCTGATGAAGATGCAGTGAAGACTGTTGAAATGACAACAAAAGATTAAGAATATTACATAAACTTAGTTGATAAATCAGCAGCAGGGTTTGAGAGAATTGGCTCCAATTTTGAAAGAAGTTCTACTGTGGGTAAAATGCTATCAAACAGCATTGCCTGCTATAGAGAAATCATTTGTGAAAGGAAGAGTCAATCAATGTGGCAAATTTCATTGTTGTCTTATTTTAAAAATTTGCCACATGGGCTGGCCCCGTGGCTTGGTGCTTAAGTGTGCGCGCTCCGATGCTGGTGGCCCGGGTTCGGATCCCGGGCGCGCACCGAGGCACCACTTCTCCGTCCATCCTGAGGCCGAGTCCCACATACAGCAACTAGAGGGATGTGCAGCTATGACATACAACTATCTACTGGGGCTTTGGGGGGAAAAAATAAATAAATAAAATCTTTAAAAAAAAAATAAAAATTTGCCACAGCCACCCCAGCCTGCTGAAGCAACCACCACCCCGATCAGCCAGCAGCCATCAACATCGAGGCAAGACCCTCTACAAGCAAAAAGATTATGACTCCCTGAAGGCTCAGATGATGGTTAGCATTTTTTAGCAATAAAATGTTTTTAAATAAGGTATGTATATTGTTTTTTTAGACATAATGCTATTGCGCACTTAAGAGACTACAGTATAGTGTAAACATAACCTTTATATGCACTGGGAAACCAAAAAATTCGTGTGACTCACTTTATTGCGATATTAGCTTTATTGTGGTGGTCTGGAACCAAGCCCACAATATCTCCGAGGTATGCCTATACATGAAAGGTACTCAGCATCACACTAATCATCAGGAAAACGCAAATCAAAATCACAATGAGATATCACCTCACACTTGTTAGAATGGCTGTTATAAAAAAGACAAGAGACAAGTGCTGGTGAGGATGTGGAGAAAAGGGACCCCTTGTTCATTGTTGGTGGGAATGTAAACTGGTGCAGCCACTACAAAAAACAGTGGGGAGGTTCCTTAAAAAAATTAAAAACTGAACTACCATATGATCCAGCAATCCCACTTCTGGGTATACATCCAAAGGAAATGAAAACAAGATGTTGAAGAGATACCTGTACTCCTCTTTCTTTACAGCATCATTCACAATAGCCAAAATATGGAAACAACCTAAGTGTCTGTTAATGAATGAACGAATGGATAAAGAAGATGTGATATACACATACAATGGAATATTATTCAGACATGAAAAGAAGGAAAGCTTGGGGCCGGCCCTGTGGCGTAGCGGTTAAGCTCGTGTGCTCCGCTGCTGGTGGACTGGGTTCGGATCCCGGGCGCGCACCAATGCACCGCTTGTCAGGCCATGCTGTGGTGGCGTCCCCTATAAAGTAGAGGAAGATGGGCACAGATGTTAGCCCAGGGCCAGTCTTCCTCAGCAAGAAGAGGAGGATTGGCATGGATGTTAGCTCAGGGCTGATCTTTCTCACTAAATAAATAAATAAATAAATAAGGGGCCGGCCCCGTGGCTTAGTAGTTAAGTGCACGCGCTCCGCTACTGGCAGCTCGGGTTCGGATCCTGGGCACGCACCGACGCAACGCTTCTCCGGCCATGCTGAGGCCGCGTCCCACATACAGCAACTAGACGGATGTGCAACTATGCCATACAACTATCTACTGGGGCTTTGGGGAGAAAAAGGGAAGGAGAAAAAAAAAAAAGGTCAGTTTAAAAATAAATAAATAAATAAACAAACAAATAAATAAAAAAAGAAGGAAAGCTTGCCATTTGCAACAACAGGGATGGACTTTGAGGTGTATTACGCTAGGTGGAATAAGCCCGACAGAGAAAGACAAATACTGCATGGTATGACTTATATGTCGAATCTAAATAAAAAGTCAAACTCATAGAAACAGAATAGAAAAATGGGTTGCCAGGGATTGAGGGGTGAGGGAAATAGGGAGAGGTTGGTAACAGGGTACAAACCTTCAGCTGTAAGATGAATATCATCTGAGGATCTAACATATAACATGACGACTATAGCTAATACTAATGTATCATATAATTAAAATTCGCTAAGAGAGTAGAACTTAAATGTTGTCATACACACACAAAAAAGACAAATACGTGAGGTCATGGATGTGTTAATTAACTAGATGGGAGGAATCCTTTCACAATGTACACATATATCAAATCATCACAATGTATACTTAAATATTTTACAATTTTGTCAATCATACCTCAACAAAGCTGGAAAAACAAAAAACCAGCAAAGACCTTTCCCAAGCAAAAAAAAAAGGTGTCATGTTAAGTTTATGTGTTATACTCCCCCTCCCTTTTTTTCAACTTAGGTTGATTACAAGCTAGAGTGACCATAAATCCCAGTTTATCTGGAACAGTCCTGGTTTCCACCTATAATAACTAATAATATCCCACTTTCATTTTCAAAAGTGGCCAGCCCAACTGATATGGGCCCCCTTGTGATAAAATAAAGATTACTAATGAGTGGTCAGATGCATGAGTTCTGGCCTCAGGCAGACAATTCGTGGCCTTGTTACTTTCCAACTGTGGAACTTTGGGAGAAGTAATTAATCCCTGGAAGCCCCAGTGTCCTCGTGTAAAACGAGAGCTCACTCTTTCAACAAACCTGTCTGAGTGCGGACAGCGTGCCAGGCACTGTTTTAGGCACTGGGGTGAGAGTACAGGAGATATCAGTGCTTTCACCACTGAGGGAGACGGCAAATAAACAAACCCAAAACGACTCTTTCATATTTCAGGTGGAAGTAAGAAAAGTAAATCTGAGTGAGGGATGATGCAATGACAGGGGAATGCTATTTTAGAAAGAAGTATCCGGAAAGACTGTGCTCAGAGACATTTGAACAGGGACCCGAATGGTGTGGCAAAACAAGCTATGTAGATACTTGGCTGCGGGAAAGACAAGTGCAAAGGCCCTGAGGCAGGAGCTGCTTTGTGGGTTTGAAGAAGAACAAAATGGCAGTATGGCTAGAAAAGAGCAAGGGGGACAATGATAGGAAAAGTGGCTGGAGAGCTGGGAAATGACAATAGTAGGCATCTTGTGAGGTTGCTGTGATGATTAAATGAGATGATATATTTAAACCTCTTACTCAGAGCTGGCATATGTTATATGCTTAATAAACAATGGTTAAAACATTTTTCAAATGTTTTACAGGAACTGAAAAAGATCACTTGGAATATGCTGTGTGTGTGTGTGTACCTGAAAACAATAAACAACTTTGTTCTTAGATAAAGACATATTTTTTTCTCTCTTTGTAGATGTAATACAGGTATCTCCATATTTTGAAAGAATTCATAGCAAGAATTCCTCAGAAATCCTCTTTTACGCCACTCACAGAGAAATGCTATTTCCAATTTTCTTTCCTCCCTCTTCAAAGAATTTGATAATCTGTAACATAGAAACAAAGGAGATGAATAAGAAGCATGCTTACATTGTATCGAACGTCTAGGCCGCCATAGCTTAGGGGCTGCTTCTGCTGCAGCCTCAGGTCTCCGTTCACATATAACTGGGACCCTGGAACAGCGAAGGAGGATTGGAGAAACGCCATGCTCTGCATCACGAATGTTGACATCCTCTGAAATTATTAGAGCAAGAGACAATAGCGATTTTGGTGAGTTCTGAAGATCTCTGGGTTCTAAGTGTCACTTGTCCGTGGTTGAAGCCTAAGGGTCCCCCACATACCTGGTTTAGCCATGCAGGAAGCACTCCGCCCAAAACCTTCTGTGCTATTAGTAGCTCACATAAATTAATATGACCCCAATGAAAAACATTCGATTTGCCTAAGTTAAATCTCAAACTACGCCTCAGAAAAGAGCCTTCTTCAGTATGGGTTTTCCTAGAAATCAGAATGAGGGCTTTGTTCTTTAAAAAACAAAAGGTAAAGGATGGGCTTCCCTTGGGAATTGACTCACGTGCAACTGGTAGGAGAAAGTCAAGATGAGCTGCACGGCCACAACATGCTCCGTGGACTGCAGGGGCAGCTCCAGTTTAAAATGTAACATGTCCATCTTCCCATCCTGGTTCCTGTCTTCTTCTCTAGTCTAGAAACCCAAAGAGGCCCAGTGACCCTGGTCCTTAATAAGTCGAGAAAGATCCATATTACTGTGGTACATACACAATAACCCATTGTTCTGCCTTACACAGGTATTTTCTCTCTTACCGAAAGAAAAAGAGAAAAATAAATAGGTATAAGTGGATCAATGCTGGGGAAAGAGACACAGTGGGCACGGCCCCTGAACTTCATACTTGTGCTTCTTGAATGTTCAAGGGCCAAACTGAATGGCAACTTGAAGTGGCAATAACAACAATAAACATCTGGACGGCATTTTTCTTCTTTGGTTGTCTCATTTGATCTCTTTTTTGTTTGTTTTGTTGCTCGCATTTTCTTTTTTATAAACGTGCCAGAGTTTGTATGGAAAATTTAAATAGCACATTAGAATTGTCCTCTATTTGTCTAGAAGTCAACTTTTTAAAATAGAAAAGAAACTCATACTAATCATTATGCATTCCCCAAACAGACTCAGCAGAAAAACACCAAGCTCTATTTATATCTTCTTTAACCACAAGCGTCTTTGCTTCCGATTCTCATTGTTGGACCTCACCTCATCATTGATGTCAGGACTTTAAAGCCCAGTGCATCTTTTAGTACCAATCAATAAAACGAAAAAGGAAGCTAAGTAAAATCAGTAAGGCATTAAAACTACACCAATACTTTATAAATTATGGACATGAAAGCAGGGAAAACAGAGATCTGAGGAGGAAAAAAGACAAATTACAGCTCATAAAAAAACAGTGGTATCCAGTCTTGCCATCCATAATCTTGCCTCATAGTGATCCTAAAATGACTAGGAGAAAAGTATGGTTATGAAATGTGATCACTGCTGACATGATCCGTTGGCACAACTCTGGATTTTGTTGCTACAACGGATCCTTTTCTGCTGTAGGTTCCCAGAAGGATTCTACTATGGTTTATCAACATTCCTACCTGAATTCTCCATCTACTGATTCATTCTGCTTTCCACCAACACCATTATGTGAGGAAGAGATTCTCTGTTCTTTTTCAGGCTAATAAGGTCTTTTGAGATGGAGATATCTGTTTGCAGAAACTTTCAATCATTTCTTTCCTTCTAGACAATAATGTCCTTATCCTAGGCCTTGCTACAGAGAAACCTACCCTCCCTCTTCTCTTGGACACTATTTTTTTTCTGTCCTGTTCCATCAGGTTTGCAGGTGCAGGGGAGGGATATCTGTTACCAGAGCTGACGATCAAGTTACTGAGACAATTATGTATTAGCAATTACGAGTAGGATAGCAAAGAGGCTGCCTTGTCTCCAGTGAATTTTCTTCACTTGGTATCTGGGAAGACTTGGAAGACAAAGTCAGATTAACTCTCTGTAGTGGATCCATGCCTTCTGGATCTTTAGGGTTGGACAGGAAGACAAAGATCAAATGTCTCAACTTGCAAGAGAGGCCAGTGGCCAGGAGGAAATTGCCAGAAGAATCCAGACTCCAACACAGTGTGGGAAGGAGAGAACTGCATTTCATTTGAGCTCTACAATAAGCCTCAGATAAGCAGAGCAAGTATTATCCCAACTGTATAGATGAGAAAATTGAGGCTCAGGGAGGTTAAGGGATTTATTGGATACAGCTAGTAATGGTCAAGACAGAATTCAAAACCATGTCTTTGACCTTGATTCCAGGACTAAAATGTCTAGACTTAAAAAAAAAAACTCAGGGAGAAGATGTAGGGTAGGACAAATCTTTTCGAAAAAAGCCAGCATCAAAAGATGAGTGTAAGTCTGTATACCTGCTCGTACACACACTTTTACTCCAAGTTCACAGAGATCTGACACAGCACTGTAATTAGTGTCTACTTGTTAAATTCACTCATTAATCTGTTAAGTATTTTTTGAGGGCCTACTATGTGCCAGGCCCTGTTTCAGGTGCTGGGAATAATGGGAAACAAAATAAAGTCCCCACTCTAATGGAACTTACATTCCCAGCCAGGGAGGCAGAAAATAAATCAATAAACAAGTAAATATCAGATGGCGATAAGTGCCACAAAGGAAAATGAAGCAGACTAAAATTAGAGAATGACAAGGGTAGACTTAAACAGAAATTTTTACAGAGAACATTCAGGAAGACCTAACTGTCAGAGACCTGAAAGAAGTGAGGTGATGAGGCACAGGATACCTGGGGAAGAGTGATCCAGGCTAACAATGTGTACGTGCTCCAAGTACAAGCGCACCAGTGCTTAAGAGAGTGCAGCGAGGCCGGTGCAGCCGAGCAGAGTGAGTGAGAGAGGATGAAGAGGGCCAGGAGAGAGCCAGGGGCATCCCTCACAATCACCTATCACTCAGGTAGACTCTCGCTCCCCCAGGGCTGGCAAGGTAGGCTACATTTCTATGCTATCACTTGGACCACTGAGGAAATCAATTATTTAATTCCATTTAGTTCAAATCAAGCTTAACACATGTGCAACGACTATAAAGGCAGGCATTCAAAGGGCTAATACTTCTTTAACACAAGCTCAAGGTTAGTATCTAAAATCCAATGGGTGTGTCTGGCTAAGAGATTTCATAAGTCACACCATCACCTTATTTTTATAAGGTATATGTGCAATTTGGAACAATTTTTATATCTGTTGATTGTCCCATCTGATCTCTGTGCATATCCCAAGAGAGAGGTATTATTACTAACAATAGTAATAATTAGAGAGGTAGGTACCATCATGCTCTTTATATAGATAGTTACATTGAGGCTGAGAGAGGGTATGGAACCCAATGACAGAACTGGGGCTAGGTTCTAGGTTTGCTGACTCCTGATTCAGTGCTCCTTCTATGATAGCCCATAAGAACTCTAATTTCAAAGATTTCTGGTGGTTAAAGGAGGATAATCCTTTACAGGTATAATGTGAAATCAATATTAATATACTGGATAGGATAAATATAGGCATTGCTGGATTTAGTCAACGCATATCAGCCCACCTGTATCAATCAGGGTCCAATCAGGAAAATAGAAACTAAAATAAAGTTATTTTAACAGAATTTAGTACAGGGGATAATTGGTCACACAGGTTTTGGAGGACACAGGGAATGCTGTGATAACATAGAGAGGATACCTGCAGGAAGCAGCAGAAAGGGAAGAGGTTGGCATTCCCTTAAGGAGCTGGGACTTAGATCTCAAGAAGGGAGTGCTGCCCAGCTGGTGCTGGCGCCTCCGGAGCTTGGAGGAAAACCCACCAGAGGTAATTGATAAGGCTGAAGGAAAGACTTACTCCTTCCCATTTGCATCACCCCAGCAATGATTCTTCACCCTGGCAGCAGCAACTGGTTGCAGTTCCCAGTTTTTTCCCACTCCCAGAACAAGGCTCATCATGCCTCCTACTGGCAGAGCCTAAGAGGGAGCCAGTGGGCAAGGAGAGTGTGGTTTTCAGGACCTCAGTGTGAGCATCACAAAGCAGAGTAAGGGAAGGTGGATTTCGAGCTGAGACAAGACCTAATAACAGCACACCATCTCACTGTAAGAACTGCTGTAAATTTAAGGAGAGGCATTGTTTCCAGAGTCCCCTGACTGGCAACATTTTTTCCATCATGGATTCTACAGTATCTGATGGCTTGTTTTCATCCCTTTCATTCTTTTGAATCATATTCTCTTACAAAAGGTTAATTTCTAGTTTATACCAGTGTCCATTTTACCATATATTTGTCATCACTGGGTGTTCCATTTTTTTCTTTTTATGCTGAAAATACTCTTTGGCAGTCTTTGGGTCTCCAGCAAAGTAGGGACCACTACTTCATCACTCCTAGACTCACCAAATCCTTGCTATCTGTATTTCAACAAATCTAAGATACCATCCATCATAAAATGCACCATTATTTTATATACCAGTAAGAAAGGAAAAATATTTTCAATTAAACTATGACAACAATGCTTTCTAATCACTTAGAGTATTTTGTACTTATTGAAAGAGCTTTTAGACACAGGTATATCTGATATATTTATGCACATACAAAAATATAAGCAAAATAAATTGATCCAGGGATTTCTAAAACTTCATTACACTGTGATTCTTTTGAATTACCTTTTGACTCAATGATATCTATAGTTTTCTATGCAATTTTGTCCTTTGTGCCATCAAACACATTGATTATAAAGCATTTTAAAAAACAATTCATAAAAGGAACTAAAATCCATTGGTCTAGGCTCTTAGGCAGGCTTTAAAATTATGTACAGCTAGCCTATTTTTAATTGCCTCTTGAACCTTCCCCTACCTGCTCTCCATTTGGTTCTTAGGGGTTAAAATACTGTTTTACTATCTTACTATTTTGTCAATTATACCTCAATAAAGCTGAAAACTACGTTTTACTATCGTCTCTGGGGTTTTCTTTTAAGTTGCTGATGTCCCCTCTGCAAGTTTTGGTGCTGGCACTTTTTTTGTGAGGAAGATCAGCCCTGAGCTAACATCCATGCTAATCCTCCTCTTTTTGCTGAGGAAGACCGGCTCTGAGCTAACATCTACTGCCAATCCTCCTCCTTTTTTTTGCCCCCAAAGCCCCAGTAGATAGTTGTATGTCATAGTTGCACATCCTTCTAGTTGCTGTATGTGGGATGCGGCCTCAGCATGGCCGGAGAAGCGGCGCGTCAGTGCGTGCCCGGGATCTGAACCTGGGCCGTCAGTAGCCAACTGCGCGCACTTAACTGTTAAGCCACGGGGCCGGCCCGGTGCTGGCACTTTTTTTTTTTTTTTTTAAAGATTTTATTTATTTATTTATTTTCCCCCCAAAGCCCCAGTAGATAGTTGTATGTCATAGCTGCACATCCTTCTAGTTGCTGTATGTGGGACGCGGCCTCAGCATGGCCGGAGAAGCCGTGCGTCAGTGCATGCCCGGGATCTGAACCCGGGCCGCCAGCAGTGGAGCGCGCGCACTTAACCGCTAAGCCACAGGGCCGGCCCCCGGGGCTGGCACTTTTGATGTTTACATATATGTAGGCAATGAGGACCATGCCAAGCCTGTCTCTTGTCCAACAGCTATTATAAGATACCACAGACAGGAAGACACACTCTGTTTCTCTTGGAGGTAATTCCATATCAGTATCTACAGATCCACTTCATTAAAAAAAATAGCTATGTAACATTCCCCTGGGTAATTTCTTTAATGAGTCTTCCATTGCTACATAGGTTGTTTACAATCTTTTGCTATTACAAACAATGCTGCAATGAGCAACTTTTTATACGTCATTTCACATGTGTGCACAAACCTCAGGACACCTTACTGGAAGTAGAAGCAGGCACATGCATTTGTAATTTTGACAAATATGGACAAACAGTCCTTCAAAGAGGTTATACCAATCTACACTCCCACCAGTGATACACAGGAATGCGTCGCTTAACAACAGAAATATGTTGAGAAACGCATCCCTAGACGATTTCATTGTTGTGTGAACATCATAGAGTGTATTTACACAAATCTAGATGGTACAGCCTTCTGCACACCTAGGCTAGATGGTATTAATCTTATGGGACCACAGTCGGGCATATATGTGGTCTGTTGTTGACCGTTATGTGGCACACACCTTATCGGGAATGCTTGCATGCTTCCCTATGTCTTGCCCACAGTGTTACCAAACTTCAATTTTTGCCAATTTGATAGATAAACTTGGTATCTTAATGTATTCTTGCATTTCTCTAATTATGAGCGCAATTTCATATGTTTAAGAGTTATGTGTTTCCTTTTCGATAAACTATTCATATTCTTTGCCATTTTTCTATTAGGTAGTTGGTGTTTTAATTATTGATCTGCAGACACTTTGTTAGGAAAATTAGCCCTTTACAAGTGACACAAATGATAAAACTTTTTTCCTAGTTATCAGTGTTTTGACTTTGCTTATGGTTTTCACCATGCCAGTAATTTTTAAAATTATTTTTATATAGTTGCATTTATCAAAAATGTTTCTTTTATGGCTTCCAGATTTTACGTCATACTTGGAATGGCCTTTCCTACCCCAAGATATAAAAGCTTTCACTCATCATTTGTTTCAGTACTTTAATGATTTCATGTTTTAAATTTAATTTTGATCTAGCTGGACTTGATTCTGGTGTACAGTCTGAGGACTGGCTTCATTTTTACTTTTTCCAGATGGCTTCCTAGTCGTTCCCACACCATTTTATTGTATAAGTCATCTTTCCAAACTGATTTTATTTATTCATTCATTCATTTATTTTTTTTTTTGTGAGGAAGATCAGCCCTGAGCTAACATCCATGCTAATCCTCTTCTTTTTGCTGAGGAAGACCGGCTCTGAACTAACACCTATTGCCAATCCTCCTTTCCCCGCCACCTCCCCAAAGCCCCAGTAGATAGTTGTACGTCATAGCTGCACATCCTTCTAGTTGCTGTACGTGGGACGCGGCCTCAGCATGGCCAGAGAAGTGGTGTGTCGGTGCGCACCCGGGATCTGAACCCCAGCTGCCAGTAGCGGAGCTCGAGCACTTAACCACTAAGCCACGGGGCTGGCCCCCAAACTGATTTTAAATGCCACCTTTGTCATATTTGGGTTCATTTCCATACTTGTTATACAAGTCCCCAAACTACACTGCTTTACTTAGTATACTTTAAGGTATAGTTTAATATCTGGTAGAGCTATTCTCCTTGTATTACTCTTCTTTTTCTCCTAGAATTTTTGTTTATTTTTCTATATATCTATTTCTCTTTCCCCCAAAATTACGTTTTCATTGAGATTGTATTAAAATTATAAAGGAATTTAGGGAGAACAGACATCTTTACAATGTTGAATTTTCCTATCCAAGAACATGACATAAATTATCATTTTTTTCTTATCTCTTTTGTGTCTTTCAGCAATCTTTTAAAGTTTTATTCATAGAGATCTTGTACATTTCTTAAGTTTACTCCCAGGTAGTTTATCTTTTGGTTTGCTGTTGAGGTCTGTACTTCCACTGTCTTCTCATTTCTTGTATCTCATGATTTCAAACTATTCTCAAACCAAGAGCTCAGGTAGGAAGGAAGCAAAGCATTTATTGAGAAAGACTGTAGATAACAAGGCCATAAATTACTTATAGACACTGGCCTAGAATGAAGGGGTAAAAAACTAAGAAAAAGGAGCTTTGGTTTTGTGTCTGACAAAAATTACCCAGTATGAAAGGATTAACGGTTCCAGGCACCAAAAAAAAAAACAGGTAGTCTTGGCTTTGTAGATTTAAAATCGGAATTCACACACACCAGAAGCAGGGGGAACATGGGCAATGCTCTCAAGGGAGCAGTTTCTGGTTACCGAGATAAGAGGCTAACACAGCGGTCCAACCGGGGAGCCAGCCACTTGTGGTGGATGAACAAGTGAAAAGAACGAATGAACGAAACCTAACGCTATATCCCTGTTTTCATGATTCTTTTACATTTTCATGATTATTTCTTAGACTCAAGTAACCAGAAGAATAAGATAGAGAGGAATATACAAATGTAAAGAAAAAAATTTAAGACAGGGACTGCTAACCTAAAGTAAACCAAACAAGTTAATTTTTTATTTGGAATAAAAAATCCTTTGTTTCCATTTTTGGAAATGAAACACACGCACATGGAACACCAGAAGTACACTGGGTACACAATGAAAAGTAAGCATACCTCAACACTGGCCTCTCATCCAGTCACCCTTCCCAAGAGGCATTATAATCTCAAATAATAAAAATGGGCAACGTGTCATGATTAGTGAGGAGCTACCGAAAGAAATGTCTCCTACTCCAGTTCTATTTTTAAAATCAATTTAAAAGACCTAAGCATTTAAAGAATCAAAGTGTTCAACCATATTTGTTAGAAAAACAGACTTCCACTCCCATAACAAATATTTTCATCTCATTTACCTGATTATTTAGAAACGTATCTCCATGTTTTAACATTTGAATTGGCACTTCTCGATTTCTCAGTTTCAGGCATTCTCCATTGACTTCCCACAAGGAAAGATGAAGATTTAGTTTTCTTCCCCTCACCTCCCACCAGCCCCCACCACCCACACCCATACCCACACACACCCTTCCCATTCTTTTGGTTAGTCAATACTCAGTGTTCACATAATTATGACTACGTAAATACCATTCACAACTCTGATTACTTTTCCTTTCTCACTGTTCCTTACTTTTTCTTTCTCTGGAGTTACTATTTTATTTGCTTGCTTAGTTTTCCATGTACTTACACAATTTCAACAAACAGCTTCCATTCCAATTCAAAATCTTGCTCACTGCAATATTCTAATAGTGAAAAAGTAAAAGCAAATCAAATATCCACCAACGGGGAACTGGTTAAATCCATCATGGTTTTTCTATATTATGAAATACTTTGCAGACCTTAAAAAGAATAAGGTTAATTAACAAGTATTGATTCATGTACCAAACTAAGCCTTTAATTTTATGCCTTTCTGTATACCTGTAACTTTTTCATATTTTACAATGAGCATACATTTTTATAATCAGAAAAAAATATAAGAAAATGTAACCAGAAAAAAAGTAATCTGAATCATATTTTGTTTGTAGTTATTCATATAACAATAAGGTTTAAAACTTTTTTTCATTTTATTTAGCTGCTGGAAAAAAGTCTGAATTTTTGTTTTCAGCTGCACAAGTCTGGCTTGTAGGCCAATCATCTCAGAGATGTGTAAAGAGATTCAACTTTGGAAGAAGGAAAACCAGAATTTTCATACTTCCAAAGCAAAATGTTTTCAGAAAATGTGCGGAAAGGGGTGACTGTCAAGTAAGCACTCACTTATCCTGAACCAAAGACTAAATTACAAATAGTAAAATGCTTCATTTCCATCCCAAACAGCTGCAGGATGGAGCAGCATCTAAAGGTACAAGCCCAAGGACTGGGCCAGCCCGACTTTCTGGGGAGGTCGCTGAACCAATCACCGCCTTGGCTTCCATGTGTCAAGTCTGCATAAAAACGCCTACCCTTTGCGTTCCCACCGTGGTGCGATGCACAACTGCAGCGACATGATGGGGTTACAACAGGAACACTGCTCGGCCTTCATGACCCACGAACTTTCCCGACCACCCTTCCATGAGGCCAGGCCCGGAAAGGACGGGGCCAGCGACAGGCTGTCCCCAGGCTTCTGCACTGTCAGGACGCAGACGCTGACAGCAGTGGCTAACCTTCTTGGGGTTGGAGACGGCTTGGAGAAGTCGAATGAAACGAGAAATTTACCTCTCAGTAAATTAAACCAGTAAAAGAGGCCAGTAAATAGGCTTAGGCCAATGAGCCTGTGCACACAACCTCCATGGGTTCGCGAACCCTTAAGATCCACGCTGGGCTCCCCGGGGGCTCAGGCCGGGCAGCTCGCTACCTCCCTCCCACCGCCACCACCGCCCAGTCCCCGGGGTGGGGAGGCTAGAAAAGGGCAGGAATCACGCACCGAAACGAGCGGGACGCGCAGGTGATCCCCCTGCAGCCGGTTGAAGGCGGGGAACGTGCTCCACGCGAGGAAGCCGCCGCGCTCGGGTCCTAGCAGGGCTACGAGCAGCACCTGGTGCTGGAAGCGCACGGTCGGCTGCTCCTCGTAGCTGCTCCGCTTCAGCCAGAACCCTGAGGTAAAGAAGGCGGGAGGGCGGTGGGGAGGAAGTCAGGAAGGCCGGCCGGGGCGCCGCGGGCCGCGGGGGCTGTGCTGCGCACCGGCCGGGGGCAGGCTCACCGTGGCTCCGGAAGGCCACCAGCAGCGGCGGGATGTACGTGAGCACGGCGGCCAGCAGCAGGAACACCGCGGCCTTGGAGCAGAGCCCCGCGCGGTAGCCGCGCTCGGCCGGGTGAGAGTAGAGCTCGTAGAGCGCCATGAGCTCCCCGCGGACTAGCGCCGCACGCCCGAGACCCCTCCGCGGTTCGAGAGGAACGACTAAGTTTGGCTTCTCCTAGTGGCCATAGCTGTGGTCTCCACGGCAACCGACGGTGCAGGGAAAGGAACCAATAGCAAGGAAGCGGGGCCCCCGTAGGGGCGGGGCTGACGGGGGCGATGCGGGATGGCGGACGCTCGACCCGCTTTACGCGTTGCGTACGTTTCTCCAAAGGCTGGGTGGAGGTAGAATGTTTGCGTGCACGAAAATCATAGCCACCGCCCGTGTTAACACTTGTGTAAAAGAAGATTTTCATAAAAGTTGCCTTACAGTAAATAGCTGTTTGTATGTTATCTGTTAATCCACAATGTGGTTCATACTTAAGTCCAGCTAGTCACAGCACACCCTACATGGGAGGAAAACACACAGAACATAAAACTGGCCGTGATCCTCCACCTGTTCCTGGGATAAGACAAAAACCAGGTCCCTTTGTCTCCAAAGTTTCTGTTGCTTTCACTCTACTCCATAGTAGGACAGACATAGAAACAGGACACAAATGTCGCGGCTCTTCGTGGGATAAAGGATAATTACTACATAGCTCTCTGCTATACTTTGTTACATGTATTGGGTACAAGCCTGGCTACTGGTTTTAGAGGAAGCTATGGTCCTCCCCAAAGATAACATTGGCTTATCACTTAATTGAATGTTTCTAACCCCCAAACCAGTATTTCGAGCATGGCAGAAGGATTTTTTTTTTTTAAACCATGGTTCACAGCCAAGTTCTTCATCAAAGGGGCTTGAAGGATCACACTGCAGTGCCAAGAGATAGTGTGAAGTTTGTGCTTAGAGTGGAGTCCAGTAGTTGATGCCCCTATTTTGAAGGCAACCTAGAAGTGGCTTTTAGATGAAGAGAACAACTGAGATCCTAACAACACAGACAGAGGGAGGTCAGGATCTGCCCATTTGGGATAACTAGCTAGGGCCCTTACCATAGTCCAAGGTGACAGTGTCATCGGCCATATGATGCTTTTGACATATCTGGTCTAGTCCTACTCATTCTTGCTTTACAGCTTTTCTGGGATGGCAACACAGCTCTTAAATACAGCAATTGTTAGCTTAAAGCTATGTTATGATTCTGACATTATATTGTATCTATGGTTTAGTGGATGACTTTCATTTATTTAAATAACCATTAAAATAAGATTCTAGAATAAATGGTTCTACTATCGCATTGTGAGGGTGGCTCTGAGGAAAGAGGTGTTTCCCTCCACAGGTCCTTCTTTCAGCAGGAAACACACTGTAGCTAGTGTCACTTGGTCACTGCTGAAACAGGGAGGTGACTGCTAAGAATTTAGGTGTATGTGTTGGGGCCCGGTCTGGTGGCGCCGCGGTTAAGTGCGCGCGCTCTACTGTAGCGGCCCAGGATTCGCAGGCTCGGATCCCGGGCGCGCACCAAAGCGCCGCTTGTCAAGCCATGCTGTGGCGGCGGCCCATATAAAGTAGAGGAAGATGGGCACGGATGTTAGCCCAGCGTCAGTCTTCCTCAAGAAAAAAAGGGGAGGATTGGCATCAGATGTTAGCTCAGGGCTAGTCCTCCTCACAAAAAAAAAAAACAAGACAAAACAAAAAGAATTTAAGTGTATGAAGTGCTTCAGCCTCCCCTGAGATGCCATGAGCTTTGCAAAAGTATTTAATAATAACAGATACTAAGGGCCTGCCCTGTGGCTTGGTGGTTAAGTGCGCATGCTCTGCTGCTGGCGGCCTGGGTTTGGATCCCAGGGGCGCACAGACGCACTGCTTCTCCGGCCATGCTGAGGTGGCGTCCCACATACAGCAGCTAGAAGGATGTGCAGCTATGACATACAACTATCTACTGGGGCTTTGGGGGAAAATAAATAAATAAATAAAATCTTTAAAAAAAATAAAATAAAATAACAGATACTAATATTTACTCTTTGTTTCCATGATTTGAGGAAGCTAGTCTTTGTGTTTTTATTTCAATTCTTTAAGAGAATATTAGATTTTTTTAAATGCTAAAGATCTGTGTATATTTTGTCATTTTCACACATTCATGACTGAGAACTGACTTCTCAGTTTCCATTTCCATAATTTTCTCATGTTTCATACAATTTACCTCCAAGATCAAAGAGAGTTGTTCTCTTAAAACTACACATTTTAATCATGTTTTACCCCTTTCTAGAAGCTCCCATTCAGGGTCTCTTGAATCAGTTTAAAATTCCTGAATTTTTGCTTCAAGGCTTTGCAACATTTTTTTCACATTGGCATTTATCTATATTGCTGAACCTTTGGCTTTCCAGTTCCCCATTCCAACTTCAGCCTTTGTTTCTATCTTTTTTTTTTTTTTAGGGAAGATTGGCCCTGTGCTAACATCTGTTGCCAATCTTCCTCTTTTTTCTCTTTTCTCCCCAAAGCCCCAGTACATGGTTGTGTATCATAGTTATAGAGTTATAGCTCTTCTATATGGGACGCTGCCTCAGCATGGCTTGATGAGCGGTGAGTAGGTCCGCCCCCAGGATCCCAACCAGCAAACCCCGGGGCAGGCCCCCAAAGTGGAATACTCGAACTTAACCCCTATGCCACCAGGCCCGTCCCTGTTTCTATCTTTTAAGGGAAGTTTATCCTTTAGAAAATGTACTTTTCTTTCTGAAACATAAGATTCACATTCTCTGTGAAGTCTTTCTTGATAAGCCTTGCTTGGCTTTGTGTCAGCCCCCATTGCCCTAGCCATCCCTCAGTATCCATGTTCACACACCTCTCCAACATTTGAAATTTATTCTGTGTGTGTTATAAGTCTGTTAATGTGTAATTGCATATATTGATGATCCTATTTCTCCTCCTGACTCACCTCTTCAACTAACCACCCCCTCAAGGAAGGCATCCAGTGTCCTTAGAACATTCAATCAGCTAAATGTAATGACCCAATAGGCGAAGAAGGTGATGCATATCATCAAGGCAGATCAGAGAACCCAATTAGAATGGTGAACTGGAAAAAGACATCAAGAAAGTAGGTAAAGATAGAAGACAGAAAGACATTGCACATCGAGACAGGTGACACGACTATCAATTGGGTGAATGGTGGATCTTCCCCCTGAGAAGTGTACTAAGCTCTTCCAGGCGCAAGGTGGTGTACACATGCCTTGGACTAGGACACAATGACCAGCTCTGTAAAGGGAAGCAGGGATCTTCAGTTCAATTCTAACTCCTCCACTGATTCACAATCAGATGGTGAACAACCATCTTCATCCCTCAGTGTTTAATTCTATTTGCAAAAAAGGTATTTTCATTTTTTCACTCACTCTCTAGCTGATCTCATCCAGTTCAATAGCTTCAGTATTTCTCTTCTGAATCTGAGACTCATAGATCCATTCACCTACTCTACATCTTCACTTGGATGTGTCTCTTGAGCATCTCATACTTAATATATCCAAAACCAAACTCTTGATTCTCACTCCTCAAGCTAGCTCCACTCTATTTTAGTAAATGGCAATTCCATCCTTTCAAAAACCCTGACTTGACTTGTCCCTCATACCTCATATCCAATCTATCAGCAAATTTTGTCTGCTCTACCTTCAAAATATATCTAGAATACAACTGCTTCCCACTGCCTCCACGGACACCATCTTGGTTTAAGCCAACATCATCCTTCACCTGGATTATCACAATAGGCTCTTAACTGTTCCCTTTGCTTCCATCCTCAACCCCTTACTGTCTACACAAAAGCTAACCTGATCACTTAAAAAGGAAAGTCATATCATGTCACACCTCTGTTTAAAACCCTCCACTGACTCTCATTTCATTCTAAATAAAATCCAAATTTCTTCACATGGAATTCAAAGCGCCACACAGCTTTGTTCTAGATCTCTTTGATCTCATCTCCTAACACATTCCTCCTTGCTCATTCGCCTCCAGCCACAAGTGGATCCTTCTTATTCCTAGAATATGCCAACCACTTTACCTAATTAGCATTCTATCCCACCATCACTCTCTAGTCTCCAACCCTGCTTTATTTTCCTGAAACAGCACCTATCGTTACCCGACATATCTATTTTCTGTCTTTTTTTTTTTGTGAGGAAGATCAGCCCTGAGCTAACATCCATGCCAATCCTCCTCTTTTTGCTGAGGAAGACCGGCCCTGAGCCAACATCTATTGCCAATCCTCCTCCTTTCCCCCCCCCCCTTTTTCTCCCCAAAGCCCCAGTAGATAGTTGTATGTTATAGTTGCACATCCTTCCAGCTGCTGTACGTGGGACGCGGCCTCAGCATGGCCCGAGAAGCGGTGCGCTGGTGCGCGCCGGGATCCGAACCCAGGCCGCCAGTAGCGGAGCGTGCGCACCTAACCGCTAAGACACGGGGCCGGCCCCTATTTTCTGTCTTGTCCAACTAGAATGCAAACTCCATCAGAACATGGGTGTTGTCTGTTCTGTTCACTGCTTTTCCTGAACACCTAGAATAGTGCTCCTATATGCAACAACAATAATTTCTAGGTACAAAATTCAAAGGATTTTTCACTTCATTAAAGACAAACAAGGGCCGGCCCTGTGGCTTGGTGGTTAAGTGCGCGCACTGCGATGCTGGTGACCCGGGTTCGGATCCCGGGTGCGCATCGAGGCACCACTTCTCCGTTCATCCTGAGGCCGAGTCCCACATACAGCAACTAGAAGGATGTGCAGCTACGACACACAACTATCCACTGGGGCTTTGGGGGGAAAAATAAAATAAATAAAATCTTTAAAAAAAGACAAACAAGCAAACAAAAACCTATTTTGGTTACTCAGACACACAATCTTAAAATAACAAAGATACCTTTAGAATGAAGCTAGATTCCACAGCATCCATCAGGAATTTCAACTGTAGGAAATGATGAATGACAATGTTCAAACATACAGGTCTTTCAGCTGCATCAGAATCACAAGCACGCGGCAAGGATCATGTGCCCAATTAAGTGAATAGTCTTGTTACATATTTACCATCTCATAAACAGATGATGACCCAGAGCAGACTGCCCTGATGACTCTGCTAGGAAGAAAGGAATGACATCACTGGAGAACCTCATGGCATATGCTCAGGCAGGTGACACATACAGTGTAGGCTGTGATTGCTGAACCCTACGCTGCCAGTCAAAGAAGCCCATCTCATGACCAGCTCTT